ATACTTTTAAATAATAAAAATAATTATAAGTTATAAAATTAAAACTTATTTATATCATATTTTATCTTGTTTATAACCATTAATAAATAATCTTATAATATTCTAGTTTAATATTAATCTTCTTAAATATAAAATAAGTAATATATAATAAAATTCTAAAAATAATTGATTATTATTATTCTGAAATATATATAAAAATTTTAAAAATTCTTATAAAAATTCTTAACTTCCAATATATTTCTCAAATTTTTACTTTATAATATTAATATTAATATAATTCCAGAAATTTCTATAAAATTTCTTATTTAATATCAACATTAAAGTCATTTACCTGAAAGCAAAAAGTAATTTATCAAAACTCTTATCTTGTATATTTTAGTCATCTTTATTTTATTTATATTGCATATAATTAATACTTTTGTTATAAATAATAATAAATAGTACTTTATATCTACTTATTTTATATAAATATTTATTTTTCTTTTTATTCTTATTCTTATAGTGTATATATATATATAATATAATTTTTTCTTTTAAGAATTTGCATTTTAATAATTCATCTATAATGAATTATAATCTAGATAGTTATAACAAAGAATAGTTGTGTAAAAATGAAAATTATATATATTTATACAATAGCTATTGAAGAATTATAAAGAAGACAAAGTTGAAATAAAAAAATAAATTTTAAAATTTTAAAATCTATCAAATTGTGCTTTGGCTTGATTTTCTTTGTGTCAAAACAAAATTAATAGATTTAATTCCATTTGTGCTTAACAAATTGAAGGCTTTATTACTTAAAAAGCTAATATATTGCTTTGGATTTCTTGAATATTAATATTATTATGTTAATACAGAAATTATTATGTTAATGCTGATATTATTATTTTGATATTGATAATATTAATATTATTATTTTGTTTTTTTGAATTTCTATTTTTACTGAGTATGAATTAGTGCTTTAGTTTAGTCTTATAATTTATTATTTGTGTTAGTTATTCTTTAATTATAACAATAAAATTTGCTCTTTTGAAATTAAAATATTATTTTAAACCTTATCTTTGTCTTTAACCGCTCAATCTCCATGAAAGCTTGGCACAGGAGTCCTTTAGGACCATCGTGAAATCTACTTTGAGTAAATCATTCAGTTGTCGTTCCCACCTCCTTGCACATACTCAAATTCATTAGTCAACCTAACTTTCGAATTGAGTGTGAAATATCATTAAATGTATTAACCACAATTTGAACCATCTTATGGCGCAGTGCCAATTATAGCTTCAGTTCCGGTTTAAACAGCTATATAAATTGCTTGAGAACAGAAGCTTGTGTGCCAATTAGGGTTGACGGAATCTGATCAACAAAATGAATTTTCTGTTTTTATATCCCATTGATCCCAAAATACTTAATTTTCAATGAGTTTGATGTAATTGTGAGCTGGTATGGAAAATTGAATGGAAATATTTCTAATACACAAACACGAACGGGCGAATAATTTTTAGATAGCGAGTTTAATTTCCATCTAATAATTATTTACAACATTAATAGGATCACATTATGGAGAAAGTGAAAATTTAAAATTTCTCGTAGTCTCTTGCATACAAGTAAAGCACAAATTGAAAAGATCAGATTCGTGTGAAACCTATCAACGTAGTTGAAAAATAAACATTCTTACGAATATTCATCAATTTTGTTGGACAATCTCAAAACGAAAAAGACAATCTATTAGGCAAACCACGCGGAATTCATTTTTCTCAATATGTTATATGATTCAAGAGCTGTTCACACGACATTGTGACAATTTTCAGTGTCTCAAACTCAAAATATAGTACTCAATAACAAGCGCGACAAATGATTGACTACTCATATTTAGTCAAAAGGTATACATCTAATTTACAAGAAATTACTTGTGAAAACAAATTTGGACGCATATTTCATCCAGTCTCCGAAAAATCACTATTATACCGACGTGAGTTTCGAATGTTGATTATTTGGATATTTACTGCAGCTTAAAAACCTGGGAACTTTAAAATTATTGAACTTACCAAAGGCGATATATAGAATCTGAAAAATTCATCTACAGAATAGTGCGAATTATTATTCAAACCTTGATATTGATTTATCTTTGATGCTTGATTCTACAATATTTGTTTGCATCAAAAGTTTCTCAATCATTTGCAATCATTAAAAATATTAATTGCACAAAGTACCGATCTCAATTCAGTTGAGCTGCATTGGAATGTTTTGAAGAGGTAGGTTCGCGCATGGCCTAAATATGCTAAAAATGAATCTGAATTAATAGTTGCATTGAAGGAAGACTGGAATTTTTTGAGCATGAAACTTCAAATTAGTTGATAGCATTCCTCATAGAGTTAAAGCGACAAAAGTATATTATATTATATGAGTTCTTCTTTACTTGATTCAGTACCCTTTAATATTCGGAGACAATTACGATTCCAACCCATTTAATCTTTTGGGAAAGTTACCATGTTGACAATTTTGGACGTTCACTACGCTGTATTTAGATGAAAAGAGTTAATATAATTTTATATCATAATATGAGCAATTATATCCATTTTTTACTATTAGAAAATTATTTTGAAAACAATAACCGCATCATGTAAACTTGCTTACGATTGCAGATACAACAATTAGCAATATAAGCAGGATGCAGGAATAACTTGAATCTTGCATTTTTATCATTTTTTAAAATTAAATATGAGAGTATTCGATAAGTTTAGAACTGTAGTAATAGCAAATGCACATTACGATATAAGTAAATTTTGAATAAAACGACTTTTAATGAGTTTAGAATGACATCTACTATTTTGATAAGATTAACATGATGATTTTTTGAAATAAAGTATCAAAAACAAGAAAAACATTTTAATAAACAGCGAAACGTATAAATACATCGGTTCTCTTCCAAAATCAAGAAATAAGTTGTATTTAAAATTTAAAGATAATTAAATACTTTGTTTAAACAAATACATAAAACTTCAAATTCATATAGTTAATGCAATTACTTGAAATATGTCTCTCTATCAATCTAGTATCGGCAATTCTACAACCCCATATCCATTCTATATGGGTCTCATATCTCGTTCTAACAAAACTTCGCCGATCCTCAGTTTTCTTGAAAAAAAGATAGAAATCGAAAAATCTAAGATTTCTAAAGAACCATTAAATGAATGGTTTCCACCTAAATCTCAATTTGCTTCTCACAAATTGGAAGCGAAAATAGAAACCAGTAGCATGAATCTAAAAGCTTCTGTTAATGACTATGACAAATCACATATTCCTTATGATAGATATTTGGGTCTTGAAGAAAAGAAACCTAAAAGATATTTAAAACAAAAGACTGCTGAAAAGCTTTCCTATGAATTTCGCATTGGATTGGGCGAGCTTTTACCTCCAAAAATAAATAGGTCGAACGAACTCCATGCTCAAATTTTTGATTCTAAATCGCTTAACACTAAAAAGAAAAACTCAAAATTTGTGAAGCAAATTGAGAAAAATAATAAATTAAATTCACGTCAAAGCATCGTAAACAAGAAAGTTGAATCACCGAAGAAGAAGGTTAGTCTTGAAAATCATCTTTTATCCAGCCTATACATCTGTTATAAAATTTCAATAACTTTATGCTTGTTAAATTGCCAGATTTTACTAAAGACATCCCGTGAATTACCAAAATTAAAAATTTCAATGCCTCAAATAAAAGGCAAAAATCAATATAAAAATCATAGCTCATCGAAGAAGTCGTCATCAAGGTAGATTGTTCTTTTAAAATTATTTAAATGTTCTTGGCTATTTTCTAAGTGTCTTCGACTTGTCCCTAAAAATTTATCGTTTGATTTAGGATTGATCTCAGGAAAGATGAAAATAATGTTTTATTGCAAAATTCTAAATCGAGTATTCCGAGATTTCATAAAAAGTAACTCTATCTAAGAGCTCATAAATAGAGAAAGAACTTTATTTAAAAATTAGATTTTCACTTAAAAAATTTTGTTGTAAAGCTTTTCTGTAAAATTTTAATTTGTAAATTTTGCCTTCTAATAAACCTAAATAGTAATCTTAAAATTATATTTTCATTTGCAATTTTGTAAATATCTAAAATTTAATCTTGAATAATTTGATTTTAATTAATGAAGTTTAAATTGAGCTTTTTAGAAATTAAACTTATGCCGAATGATCATTTTTACTTCTGTTATTTGATATGTTGTTAAAAGTCATCAACCTACATTGCTGATCATTTCCCGATTCCAAACTTTTGTCCAGTGAGTGTACTGTACATGTATAAAGTTGCATATACACACATACTGAATGAATACATACATGTATTTAAACACCACGAACCAACGTTTTTCACGATAATGAAGCATAAAAAATGTCATCAGCAATTGACTGGTTGGAATACGCTAAAGCAGAAGAACAAATAAAATTTTTTGATTTTAATGAATTTTCTGATAAAAAAGTAATTGGAAATGGTGCATTCGGCAAAGTTTACAAAGCCATGCTAAAAGATGGAGATTCAACCGTTGCTTTAAAATGCCTTTACATAAATGACAAAAGATATGATAAAGAAATAAATAAATAATTTATTAAAGAGGTATCACTTTGAGAATTGTAACTTCTAAATTCAAGACTAATGAAATATGTTTCATTCCATTCTATAGTTGAAAGTCATTATTAAACTTGCTTATCATAAAAACATTATTCGCTTTTATGGAATTACTCAAGGTAAATAATATATTAATTATCCTTTTTTATAATTTCTCTGAATAATTTCATTAACAATCTCACAAATAAATATTCTTTAGAACCGATCTCCGAGAAGTACATGCTTGTTATGAAATATGCTAATGATGGAATCCTCGAAGAATTTTTAGCCAATAATTTTAATAATTTGAGTGGCAATAATAAATTGAATATGGCAAAACAACTCGCTAAAGGAGTAAAATTTATACATGATGAAGTCATTATTCATCATGATTTGGTAAGAAAGTTTATATATTTTTATTATAATATTAATTTTATTTATTTTATAATTATCCTTACTTTCTATATCATTTATTACTATATTTATTATCACATTTCTATTTTTA